CGAGAGCTCGAGCTCCGGGTCTAAGAAAGACACGATCGCGAGGAACGCTAAGGAAAAGTTGAAAATTTTCCAAGTATGTTCCTCGGAACGAAATCGAACTCGAGCTCACCGACAGAAAGCCCGAGAGCTCGAGCTCCGGGTCAAAGAAAGACACGATCGCGAATAACGCTAAGGAAAAGTTGAAAATTTTCCAAGTATGTCCCTCGGAACGAAATCGAACTCGAGCTCACCGACAGAAAGCCCGAGAGCTCGAGCTCCGGGTCAAAGAAAGATACAATCGCGAATAACACTAAGAAAAAGTTGAAAATTTTCCAAGTATGTTCCTCGGAACGAAATCGAACTCGAGGTCACCGACAGAAAGCCCGAGAGCTCGAGCTCCGGGTCAAAGAAAGAAAAAGGTAATGCGGAATAATCAAGATAAAACACGAAGTAAATAATAGACATACATAACAAAAAAGCAATACGGGAATAATCAAGATAGTTCAAACATACAAGGAGTAGTAATAGGAAAGGAAATAACAAAGGAAAGTTTTCTTAAAGTTTAAAATTAAGAAGAGGAGGAACGGTGAACGACTGCAGCGGCAACGGACGGAGCGGACAGAGGAGCAGAGGAGGCGGAAACAGGATTAGTTGCGGGGATAGGTGGCAGAGAAAGAGCTGGGTGCGGACTAGCGGTGGTCGACGACGCCGCACCCGCCGGACCGGTGACTAATGACTCCGGAAGCTGGGGAGCGGAAGACGAACCGATCGATGAGATCAGATCGTCCGTAATGGATTGCCACCAGGCGTAATCGATTGGCTCACGAGGGTCACCTTTCCATAAAGGAAGCGTCCTGCTAATCTTGCCAAGGACAGCTGTGGGCTCGTATCGAACGACTGCCTGCTGCTCGGAGGCCAAGGTTTCACACGCAGCAATGGTCTGCTTCACGTAATACATGCCAATGGGACATGCATCCTTCAAGAAAAGCTTTGTGTGCGGGTACCTCTGGAATAACTTGACCCGGTACTGGTCAAGAACCGACAAACCCTCTGCAGTCGCCAAAAGCTCTCCTAGGGACTTCCCCCGTTCAGCAGCGAGTCGGCGTGAGAGTTCTTCTTCAAATGCTTGCTCCTTCGCCTCCAGCTGCCGAATGACGGAGTCCCTCTCCTCGTGCGCCCGCACAATCTGCCCCTCCAAGGCACTCTTCGTCTCGCTTAACTTTGACTGGACGTCCTGAAGCTTCTCCTCGGCAAGCTCGCACTGCCTGGATAATGACCCGTTCTCGGACATCAAGGCATATATCCGAGAAGATGCTCGCTCGAGAGCAGTCCGAGCATTGGCGGCCTGCGAGGACAGCTCACGAACCGCCTGATCATGAACCGAGGGGTCATCTTCACCAAAACCCGAAGCCACGATAGAACTCGCCTAAAAAAAAAAAAAAATATAATAATAAATAAATTAAAATTAAATAATGCATACCATTGATAAGGTAAGATAATAGGGAAGAGGAAGGTAAAAACATACCTGAGCCAGACAAAGAGCCAACTTTGCACGGCGGGTTGAGTGAGGCAGATTGCTCAGAAAGGATGAATCCCCGGCGGCCTGGACCTTGGCCAGCTGACGGAGAGCAAAGTCCACAGACTCCTCGGAGTCATCGGCAGAAAAGAGGGAAGGCAAGTCAAGACGGGCTCTCTTGGGCGGCAGGGTGGAGTCGCTCGGCAGGGGTCGTTTCGAGCTAGCCCCCGCCGACTCCCCTTGAGCCTCTTCAAACCCGGGGTCGCCGCCAGGAGAAACCACTGGGTCGCGTGCCTCGGCCTCACTGTCCAAGAGGTCGATCACGACATCAGGGGCAGTCAGCCGCAAGTCGGGAGAGGGGGGTGCGGCGCGAGAGGGAGAATTGGAACTGTGCGACGGAAGCTCAGCTCCCCGAGAAGATGCCTCAGGAGCAACGGAAGTGCCGGTCTCCTGAGGAAGTGCTGACGGACCGCCGGTATTTTTCTTTTCGGCCTCCGCCATCTCCATCAACATGTCAAGCATCATCTCGGCTGACAAAACAGAAACGTTAATACTCGTTGCAAACAAAAAACAAAAGAGAAAAGGAGGGGGAACACTGCACAAGTAAAAGATGAATAAGGGAGGCAAAATTGGTATATACCCCAAGGCCGGCGGTCGAAGGAGGGGGTGCGCCACAGACCGGCACGGGAAAAAAGGGGAGTGGTGCTAACGACCTTCTCCACATTCCAAGCGCGAGGACGAACACGAGCAAGGAGACGGGCTGTCTCCTCGTCGAAATTTATGTCCAAGACAGCACGCTTGGGGGACTTGGCAGGGGGAGAAGGATCGAATGGCCACGGAGAGGGCGGACGGGCAAAAAAGAAACGTCGTTGCCACGAATCGATCTTCGTGACCAGACCAGCGAAAAGACGGCCGATTCGGGTCGAGAGATGGAAATAGCCTGAGGGTGATCGGTTGTGGGTAAATAGGGAAAAGAAGAGCTCGGGGCGTGGGTCAACACCAGTACCCACACAAACAATGTAAAAGCAGGACATGAATTTTATGGCGTTGGGGTGGAATAAGTGAAGAGGAATTTTATAAACGCGACTAACATTGACAAAGAAAGGATGTAAAGGGAACGAAAGGCCAGCTTTGAATTGGTCGAGATACCACGTGAGGTACCCCGGAGGGGGGTTCGAAGGGGTCTGATCACGGGAAGGCACAATGAGGTGGAAAGAGGGATCCATCCCTTGGGTAACGTAAAGGGCCTCGAGGTCGAATTTATCGACCAAGGAGTGGGTGGGTTTCTCCGCTACTTTCTTCTTCCCCGCCCTAGAGGAGGAAGGAGCTACCGTTTTACGGGGAGCCGGTCGCCGGCGACCGCGCCGGGGAACCGGGGAGGGGACGGCGGAACCCGTCCTCTCCGAAGAAGAGGAAGTGGATGTGTTTTGAGAAACCATGGTCGAGCCAGTCAGAGGAGGAGCAAACGCAGTATAAACAAAGGAAAAAGGAATAAGGATGTACCTGGCAGAGTCACTCGATAAACGGAAGGAAGGTATTAGGAGGAAGAGTAAAAGAGATATGTGAAGGTCAGAATTGGTGAATAAAGGATGACTCTCGAAGATAAAGTATGGTATAAAGTCGAAGAGCCGCCGGCAGTAATGACGCACGGAAAACGAGGAGCCCCGCGTGGGCAGTAGGGACCTAGGATTGTGTGTAGGGTGCAGAAGACTAGGCGGCCAACTGGAAGGACGCGGCTGATTGAACGTCGCCCGAGTTAGGGAAAGTAAAACCGAGTGAACTCCGGGTCCTAAACTCGGAGATAGAACCCGGAGTGGGGGACTAGTTGATCCGGACCAGAGTTATTCTTTTCCGGCCCAAGAGCAGGAGCCCAGTTGTCAAGGCCCATCAAAGGGTTTGGCCCACCAGTGTTAACGGTCCAAGGGATTGCCCAGCCCATTAGCATAAAGGCCAATCTACACAGGGCCTGAATTCCCTCCCGAGGAGTCCTAACAGTTCGGGAGGGTCATAAATGCTAGACGGCACATTTAATGCTCTGACAGTAACATTTATGGCGAAATGACCCGGTGCGGCTTAACGGCTAGTACCGAACGAGGTCAGTAAACCTACTAAAGGAGTTATCATGACCCCGGCCGCCTGGGCTGTTCGGGGAAGGACAACTGTCATCCATAATTAGCGCGGAATTCCCGGACCCTCGAGCTCCGAGTCGAAGAGTATATAAAAGGGAGTTTCTCTTTCCCTTTAGACAATATGATATATACACTAAATTCTGAGATTACATAGTAATTAAACCTTCTCTGACTTGATCGTCGGAGTGCTAACTCCGGCATCAGTCCGGCTTTCTCTTTTTCAGATCACCGGAAGCCAAGGTTACCAGCACAACTGTTTTCTTCGGATCATATATATATATATATATATATATATATATATATATATATATATATATATATATATATATTTCTTAATTCCAATAATAATCATTATGATACCAAACAACAACAGTATTACCTACACTTGTTTTTGGTTGCAGGGATCTTCAATTAAAGAATGTGGAGATAGTTGGAGATATCAGCATATTTGATACGGAAGCTTCTCATGACAGAATATTTTCCATTTAAATATTTGAGGTATCAATTTGTTGCTTGATTCAACTATTATTATTAATTATTACTGGTCATGCTCGTGAAATTTTCTACGCTCACTTAATACAGCATATGAAAAACTACCAGCATGACCAGTGATAATTTCACGAGCATGACCAGTAATAATTTCTACGCTCACTTAATATGCTCCTAAGAAGATATCCAAGTTGATGAAATCCGAGAGGGAGATTGATGAAAGAAGAAAGATGAAACTTACCGAATAATTTTCGTTTATGATTTTTGATAGGAGCTTCGAAGCCGCCAAGAGCAGATTGTTAACGGAGATGGAGAGGACAACTATCGTTTTATGAAGTAGGGTAAAAAATCAAAATTTTATTTAAAGATAAAAGAAGGATAAAATAGTCCAAAATTTATTCAGATTTGCCTTCGACCGAATAAGCGTCTAATTTTCCGCGGAATCGTTAAGAGATATGTGGACCAATTCAGAAGTTGCAAACAAACACCCTTAATGATTACACTGCTGACCGAATCAGCAATTGAATCATTAAGTGGCCCATTAAGCAAAATCAAACGGAGCCTAACTTGGTGTAAATAAGACTTGTCTATTTCACACAGTCCAAGAATCTAAATAAGCAATTTTCTTTTTTTTTTTTAAATACACTTTGCACCCCTGAAAATATTATTTATAACACTTACCCCTAATATCAATTATTTTATATTTTAAAATTTAAAATATAATAAACATAACAATCTAACAATGATTAGATCATAAAAAAATGAAAAGTAACTAAAATTAGATTACTGAAAAATAATTAAAAAGTAATTATATTGAATAATAACGAATATAAAACTCTCTCTCTCTCTCTCCCTCTCTCTCTTACTTTGTTTCTCTCTCTAAAAGGAGTATTGTAAGGCAAAGCCAAAGTTAGGGCGACTTCCTAACAATTTCGCGTCCACTGTCGTCTAGTGTCCCACTTTCCTTCATCATCACCACCAATCCACTTCTCCACTTTCCTAATTCATAAAATTAACTCAAACAGTTGCAGAATTCATCTCAGCTTTTCAGCTCCTCCGGCCTCTTGGAGCTGCTGACGTGGACGTCGGAATCATCATCATCACCATGTCTTCTTCACATATCAAAGATGGTATGCATATTTACACTTCCGTTTAATCCATCTGCAGAACTTTTTGCTTGCTTCTTTCTCTCTCTCTCTATCTCTCTCTCTCTCTCTAGGTTTAATTTTTGCGAGCAGCTATATTATATCTTTAAGCGTGGATTTTTTTTTCTGTTTTTCCTTGACGTAATTGATTAAATTAATACATGATTAAATTATTGATTATGCCCAAAATTTATTTGAGATCTGAATTTATTTTGCCAATTTTGAACAGCGCTTGTATTTGTTACCACCATAGATATAGTGGTTCAGTTCTTCATTACACAAGAGTTAATTGTCACAATTTTTTATTTTTTTTTAAATACATCACTATTCGAAGAAATTGGCTTTTTTTCTGGCTAAAATTTTACATTTAAACAGCATGGATTATTTCAAAAATTCAGAAATTAATTTTTAAACAACTTGTGTGCTTAACACTATGCCCAATTCGGCATATACCGACAGCAGAAAATTCGTCCATTTTGTATGTAATTATTCGGATTCTAACAACTTTAGGTCACGAAAAAGGGGAAACCAAATTTATAGAATATCCGGAGACAATATTCGATAGGTGTTCTAACAAAATAAACTGTGATATATGTAATACAGTGGCAGATGGAGAATTGAAACGAGTGTTTGTGACTCAAAAATCAATCACAAACCATTCGGCAGAGCCGTCGCCCTCTCCATCACCGTCTTCATCTACAGCACCCGCTTTAGTTCTCTCGAATTCCGGAAAAAGAATGGACCAAACCGGTAAAAAGAAATACGTAAAACAGGTCACTGGCCGACACAACGACACGGAGCTGCATTTAGCAGCTCAAAGGGGTGATCTGGCGGCAGTTAAACAGATACTCGATGACATTAATTGTCAAATGGTGGGGAATTCGAGTGGAGCCGATTTTGACCTTGAGGTTGCGGAAATTAGGGCGTCGGTTGTGAATGAGGTGAATGAATTGGGAGAGACTGCTCTTTACACTGCGGCTGAGAAAGGGTATATTGATGTTGTTAAAGAGCTGCTCAAGTATTCGAATAAGGAAACGCTCGCTAAGAAGAATCGGTCGATGTTTGATCCTCTGCATATAGCTGCTTGTCAAGGGCACCATGGTAATTATTTCTTTATTTTTTATTATACAATCTTTTTTTTTTTTTAATTCTTGAAAAGTTACAATTTGATTGCTACTTTTTGGTGTCGCTTAATGTTTACACTAATGATTATGGGAGTAAATTGGACTTAACTTCGTGAAGAAATATACGGCTCGATCACCCTCTTGTATTTTGTAACTTACAAAAAGATGGATGATACTTTAATACTAAGGCTAATCAAGAAATGAGACATGTTTACCACTTCAACCCCTTATAAGAATATTACTCTGTTTTTATTTTACGGGTTTATTGCATTCGGCACGCTTGTATTTTCTTTAATTGTTAAAAAAAAAAAACTCCCCTTGTTATTTTATAAGCAAAACTCCCCTATGATTCAATTTTCTTAGCAAACCACCCCCTAAAAACTCACTTTTTAGGGGTTGTGTGCCCAAAAAATGCAATGTAGGGGGGGTTTTTGCTAACTTTTTTAATGCCACAATTGCATGAGTGCTTATTGACTATCTTAGTAGCTTAACTTAGTTGTTGGAAAAAAGCTGAATAATCGTACGACGCTGATGTTAGATTAATAAATTTTGTAGCAATTGTCCAAGTGCTATTGGACCACGACCCTGGATTAAGCAAAACAATCGGCCCATCACATGCAACTCCTCTTATAACTGCCGCATCGAGAGGGCACATAGCTGTGGTGAACGAACTTCTGTCAAAGGATTGCAGCTTGCTAGAAATTTCGAGATCGAATGGGAAAAACGCACTGCACTTAGCAGCGAGACAAGGGCATGTGGAGATCATAAAGGCGTTGCTCGACAAAGATGCACAGCTGGCAAGAAGGACCGACAAGAAAGGACAGACGGCGTTACATATGGCTGTCAAAGGAGTTAACCGTGAGGTTGTTAAATTGCTACTCGATGCTGATGCAGCTATAGTGATGCTGCCTGATAAATTTGGTAATACGGCTTTACATGTTGCCACACGGAAAAAACGAGCAGAGGTATGTTTTGTTGTCTTCTATTATTTTATTTTTTTTAATTAATTTTTTTTAATTGACGGTGACTTTAGTTACATTACTGTAAAAAGATTGACTTGTATCATGTGCAAAAGCTCACAAACGACTCTATTGCATTTTGTACCCTTGTGTTGTATCAAATTGCTAAAAAAACTCCCCGTGTTAATAATTTTAGCCAAAAAAAAAAAAAAAAAAACCCTTGTCGTATTTTTTTAGCACACAATCCCCTAAATAGGGAGCTTTTAGGGGGTACTTATGCTACAAAAATTGAATCCGGGGGGGTGGGGGGGGGTGGGGGGGGGGGGGGGGGGGTTGCTAATAAAATAACACGGGAGTTTTTTAGCAATTAGAGAAAACACAAAGTGTTGAATGCAATAAACTCTTACGAAACATCTCTCCATCTTTAGTAGTTGAAAGTATAAAGCCATTTCATTTTTGAAGTTTCGAAAGAACGGTTTAAATCTTTTACAAGTCAGTAATGCTAATATTGTATAATTTGTTTTTAAAATCATCGATCGATGTACCTTGCCATTGTAAAAACTTTACAGAAAAAAATGGTTGTTTCAAAATATCTTTTTAAATTCTCAAGAAAAACGAATTGTCATAGTTGATTTTAAGTGATGCAAGATAAGATGCTGATATCACGGGTGTGCTTCATTTAAGACATCTTAACGTTTATTTTGATTGGTGGATTTTAAAATTGATAGCAATAAATCATTTAGTTCGTTTGGATAAAATCTGATGATATAAGATTTCAAATATTTAAGCTCCTACTCTGCCCAATTTTTCGATTCACGATGTTGAGCTTCAACAATTTGTCATAGGTGATCTTTATTAATGCAAGATGCTGATATTCACGGGTGTGCTTTGTCTCGGTGGATTTCAAATTCATAAGAACAAATCATTAGTTCGTCTCGAATTTGGATAATCTCATGATATAACATCTCAAATTTTTTAAGCTCCTATTGTGAGCTAGTTGTTTAGTATAATATGCAATAATAATATAACTTCATTTCCTTTTTCAATTAGGTAACCTCAATAATTCCGACTCTAACATATAAGACCTTCATTCCTCGCAGATAGTAAACGAGCTATTACGCCTCCCCGACACAAACGTGAACGCACTAAACCGAGACCACAAAACATCCCTCGACATAGCGGAAAACCTCCCTCTCTCTGAAGAGTCCTCCGACATAAAAGAGTGCCTCTGCCGCTACGGCGCGGTGAGAGCCAACGAACTCAACCAACCACGAGACGAGCTCCGCAAAACCGTCACCCAGATAAAAAACGACGTCCACATCCAGCTCGAGCAGACGAAACGAACAAACAAAAACGTCCACGGCATCGCAAAGGAGCTCCGCAAGCTCCACCGCGAGGGGATCAACAATGCCACAAACTCCGTGACAGTTGTCGCCGTCCTATTCGCCACCGTCGCTTTCGCCGCCATCTTCACCGTCCCGGGGGGTGACCTCAACTCCGGGTCCGCCGTGGCGGTGGGATCCGTCTCCTTTAAAATATTCTTTATATTCAACGCTGTCGCGCTCTTTACGTCACTGGCGGTCGTTGTAGTGCAGATCACGCTCGTGAGGGGGGAGACTAAGGCGGAGAGGAGGGTGGTGGAGGTGATTAATAAGCTGATGTGGCTGGCTTCGGTTTGCACCTCGGTGGCGTTTATGGCGTCGGCTTATATAGTGGTGGGGCGGAGCCACGAGTGGGCGGCAATTTTGATTACGGTTGTCGGAGGGGTTATTATGGGTGGGGTGTTGGGTACTATGACTTACTACGTGGTGAGGTCGAAGAGGATTAGGTCCATGAGGAAGAGAGAGAAAATGCATGCTCGTAGCGTGTCGAATTCGTGGCATCAATCGGAGTTTTCTAACTCGGATATTGACCGCATTTACGCCCTCTAGTGAGAGAATGGAGTCTCCTTTTGTAATGTCCGAATACGTTGACTTTCTTTATTTGGTATATAATGATGCTATATGTGGTATGTATATATAATACTTCCATCAACAATTGGATAGAAGCGTTTATAGATGCAAATATGGGGAGGATTTGTGTTTTTAGACTATGTTTCTACACATTGAAATGAGTCAATTGTGTATCAAAAACTTGCGATTCGTCTCGTTTGGTATATCTTGTGTTTGTTTAGTTTGCTTTCGTCGGATTTAATAATTAAAATAGCGAAGAATTTGCATTTTTACATTGAAGGATGTTGAATTTGATGGGAGAATAATTTCGAATGAGAGTTCATGTATGGAGTTCGAAAGGGTCAAATATTTGATGATTTTATCATCTATGATTTGATTGAGTTGCGAAAACTTTTGGATAAGAACGTTACATGAGATTAAATAAATATTTTGTAATTGCTTTGAACCAATTAGGGTTTTGTTTGGATTGAGTCATTTGATAAGAATGATATTTCAAACTCATAATTCTCACTATTCTGTGTTTTTTAGGATATGTGGTTGATTTAAAACTTTTAGCTATTCGGAGTTATTTTAGGGTCTATTTGGATAGAGGGATTTGGACTGATGGATTTTAAATATATAATAATAAATCTCTTGCACTTATTTGGACTGAGGGATTTGACAAGAAATTTCAAATTCACACCCCTCATTTTTAGTTATTTTCGCAGCAATTGTGAGGGATTTCAAGTGACTCCAATGGAGTTATTTCAAATCTTTTCTCCAGATCCCTTCCCCAAATAAAATCATTCCATCCAAATGGACAATGTTTTCGTATTTGGACTTCAAATTCATTAATTTGAAATAATTCAAATCCAAACGCACATTAGAAGAAGTAGTAAGAGCAACTATAATGGGAGCATCAAATGGATTATCAAAAACATAAATCACTTTTTTTATACCTCAACTAAAGAAATCTCTTGAAAATTGAGTTATAAAAAAAATAATCACCTAAAGATCCAATCTACAAATAAAATTTTCCATTAACTTTCAATTGATTATGAATTTGATAACCATAGTATTTTTAATTTTTTTTTTTGAGAAAAGGAAAATTTCATATCAGAGAATTGATTCAACTATTACAATGTTTTGAATTTCCAGTGGCAAAGAACCAGAAATAGTCAGATCTTTAAAAGACAATTGAGCTAAAACATGAGCAGCACCATTCCCATTCCGACGTATATGAAGAGCAGAGAAAACCTCGAAACATGGTGTAATAACATGAATATCCGCAATAAGATTTTAAAATAAATTTGATAACCATAGTTAGAGTGAATAAATTTTAAATGAATATTAAAATATTTTTTCAAATAACAAATGAATGTTTGATAACTTAAGTTTTATATTTATCACTGAAGTTGCTCTAAAGTCTTTTAGAGGCAAAATATCTAGTTTCGCTTCTACTGTTCACGTCAAGTGAATTTTATATCCAAATTCATAATTATAAATTTTAATTTCACTCTAGAATAAATTCATCAAAACAAAAGTTTTCAAGAAATTTACAATCTTTACTTCCTTATTATTTCTTTCAAAAATCAAATAAATTTCCTCTCACGTATCAATCTCTTCATCTAGAAAAAAAAAAGGGATGGATTAGAGTTGTTCCGTGTAGATTGATTTGAATTGTACACACAAGAGATGGTAGATACTTGCCGTAGCGTAGTTGTAGAGGATGATAGTGCCAACACTAAGCAGTCACGTGATGATGATGATGATGATGATGAAGATTAATTGTAACTAACTAAATAAATAAATCGATAAAAAAACCAATCTGAGATATTTCAATTTTAAATAATCACACATGTGTAGTCAAATAGCATTTTTTAGTTGAATAATCAATTCGTTGGGTGGAGTCAACCGAATTTGTAATTCAATTATTTGTTTGACGAATTTTGACCAAGTTTTGGATTTGGTTGAACTAATTGGACAATCTCAAGTGCAGACCATATGAACCAAATGACAAAATAGAGGCCCATGCCTAATGGGTCAATTACCGGTTATTTACAACAAGGGTGTAACAGTGAAAATGAATAACAAAAATGGTGTGGTTTTATTATGATTTATAAAAGTGGTGTAAGTCTTCTCTCGCACAGGCGATTTCCGGTCACAAAAAAAATGGTGTGGTTTTATTATGATTTATAAAAGTGGTGTAAGTCTTCTCTCGCACAGGCGATTTCCGGTCACATCTGACAAACTAATTCACCTGGTGCAGAAATCGCCTTTGCTATATATATTCTACATTGAAGATTTAAAATTTAAAGTCACACATAATTAAATAAAAATCACATAAATGTAAGAATACATAGATATCAAATACACAAATGTCAAATACTACAAAACATCTAAAACACTTTAAAAAAATGCATCAATGACGTCAAAGATGTCCAGTGGTCCCACATCTAGGCGAACGCCTGTTTCTACGAACTCTACCCACTGGTTCTTGTGGAATATCCTTTTCAATAGCGTCGACAATATAGTTATCGGTAGAATGACCTTGAGGTGATGGGAGGTGATAGGGACCGGGAGAAACATTAAAATGCATATGTGTAGACTCGTCACCTTGTAAATATCCTAAATTGAGATCCAACAATTCACTCTCTGAATACATGTTCATAGCTGGCAAGTATGGAGTTACTAGTGTGTCCATTTGAAATGTGGTCGGAATATAAACATCATCAGTAGAATCGGTATAAGTATCGGGCTCATTTGAAAGTGTGGATGGGCCGGCCTCATCTGGGTATGTGGAAGGACCGACATAATCTCGGTACGTGGAAGGACCGGCCACATCTTCATCTCGGTAAGTGAAATCGGTCCTTTCTCTCGTAGACCTTTGAGTGCGGCTGTGAGGCCTCATTCTTTCTCCATCATGGATACTCGTAGAAGGCATCATGGTCCTGTTGAGCATATTGATCATAGGCTGCATTTTTGGCATATTGGTGCTCATTGAGGCTAGTCGAGTAGCCTGAAATAAATTATAAAATAAGTTATAGAAATCGAGTAATTGTATGTAATTGCATGAATGAAATAAAACATTACGTACCACACAAAGTTTCGCAAATAATTAAACATAGGCATAATTACTCCACAATCTTCTTGCTTAAACATTTTCGTTTCGTCTTGCTTGTTGTCTAGCACGTGTTTGCGGTATATCCATTTCATTTGTATAACGAGTAGAACGTCTTCTCCCAGCTCGTGTTGTGTGACGCAATGTCGGACCATGGAATAGTTGAAAATCTGCATCCTCCCAATAAGCTTAGCTTAAAAGAGGCCAAACACTCCATTGTATGTAGAGGAATAGTGAGAAATACTATAATACTTCTGCACAAAAGCCGAGGCATCTAAATGATAATCACGACACATGTGTTGGACATGAGAGCACGGGATCCCGAATTCACGCCACTTTCCACATGTGCATACCCTTGTTCTTATGCTCACTGAATGTGTGTTGTTTCCAGCTCCGGCCATACAAGCCCTTGATATTACCTCAGCCGATTGAAGTTGTTGATTAAACATCCAGGTAACATGGTTCACTGATTCCCCTTCCCACTTTGTGAACTTATTATGAGCATAATATGACCATCGTTTTCATTTACCTCGCATAACTAGATGTTTCGCAACACGTATACGTGACTTCTTAACGGCACGGTGAAAACAATAATCAACTATAACTGTTGGGGGCAGCTTGAGAGCATTTTTCAAAACTCCGTTAATTTCTTCTGAGATATTTGTTGTCTTCTGACCACAACGCCATCCTCCGTCGTAACCTAAAGTCCAATTCTCTTTGTCAATAGCCATCAAGTAGTTGTACGCTTGAACATTTATAGATCTGATCACATCCATGACTCGATCAAATTTGGTGGTTACATGTACCGACCCGGCCTTCCAACACAAAACTTTCAACCTGACACTTCTGAAATGGGAGTTGAAATTCAAACAAATATGTCGGACACAAAACCGATGGACAAATCGGGTAGACAATGTCTCAAAAGCAGCAAGAATTCTAGGTGCACGATCAGAGATTAAACATATCGTAGTAGTCTCCATAATATTCGAAAATATATGTAGGTTTAGAATCGCGAAAAACCAGGTCCATGCACTCGTCGTTTCTTCATACGCTATAGCAAATCCAAGTGGCAACACTTGTTGATTTGCATCCAAACACGTAGCAATCAACATCTTGTGTTTGTACTTTGTCTACAGATGAGTTCCATCCACACTAATAACCCTGCGACAGAAGTTCAATCCATCAAGGCATGGCTTGAATGCCCAGTAGACATACTTGATCACGTTCTGGCTTGGATGATTTATCGGCTTACTCTGCCACTCCACAATCGTTCCGGGATTGCTCATTTGCAATGCTGTCATGTACTTGGGTAACTTCGCGACTGAGCTCTCCCAAGTACCATATATGTTATCTCTGCAACGTCTTAAATTGTACCACGCCTTCTGGTATAAGATTTCAAATCCCAATTCAGTATACACGTTTGGCTACCGAAACTTCGCAAGATGGTTTTTCACGAACTGTTGTATCCCATATCGCATAAATGTAATTCATGTCCAAATTACAATGGTTGGTAGACATTTTGCCCATAACACAAGTGTGATCTCCACCATACTTCGTGATTACCCAATAATGTTTACCGGCTTTCTCCGACCCTCGCCACAACCAACTGCAAGGTGTTCTTTCACTGTTATGTTTGCATTTCACCTTCCAATACGTTGGTTTACTTTTGACCACCTTGTCCTGTCGTTTAGCAAATCGAATAGAGTGGTCTTTCATTGCAGCAATGAGTCTTTCTTTACTCTTGAAAATCATCCCCATTTTAAGAACACCTTCATTGGCTTCGTAAAACTTTGATAATCGCTCGTCTGAGACATCAAATGAGTCTGTCATAATTTCTTCATTATCCATTGAGTAGAAAGGCATTGGCTCGTACAAGTGAGGCTGGTTTTGGTCTAGTGCCACTGATGGCATATTAGGAGGAACACTGGCAACATTCTCTTCATCATCATGGCCATGGTCCCCGTCGACGTTGCCGTCAATAGGAGGATCGGCCCCAAAGAAATCTCGCGGTAAGTCTGTAAAATCTTCTTTTGGCTCATCTGTATTGGGGTGTGGGACTTCTCTCATTGTGCTCGTTTCCCCAATATTTCCATCACCAAAATTTGCCGCATGTGAAAAAG